ACATACACTAGCGGACCCGACAGACGTTGTTCTGCATATCCACTTGAATGTATAAACAAAATTCATTCAAATTAGTTGAGCCGTTTAGGATAAATAACCTAAACACTGACTGCAGCGCCATCTGACGGGCTGTTTTGTGAATCTAAACCATCCAGGGCGCCACTTAAACGCGTACAGAAAAATTCATTTAAATCGGTCAAGCCGTTTAGGAGGAGTTCAATGACATACACACGTACAGCAGAATTATATATATAAAGATAGAGCGGACATCATGAACATCATTTTCTTCATAGTAGCGATGTAAAATATTTACTTGCAACTTAACAAGCTGCTTCACAACTTATAAACTTCAACTTAGACACAACTTGCAGGATTTATTAACATTTTTCTCTGTCGTTTGAAATTTTTTCTCGGAATCTCATTTTTTCGTTGAGACAAGTTGATTGTGTGAGTCGCGAACATTCTTCATTTTTTGCTTAAAAATATGTTTCAGTATTTTTGTATAATAACTTAGGTGTCTTTGATTTGAGTGTAGTGATTCATCATTAATTTAAAGAGATTTCGAATTGGAATAACTTAAAGTGTACCATTGACAAACGGTGAAGGAAAATATAGTGAAGAAACCTGGCCTTATAATTTCTAATTATGAGTTTGTACTCCACAACCCGCGTTGAGCATGCGTGGTGATGAATGCTAAAACCATCACCGTGTGAGAAAAGGCTTTGCTCAGCAGTGGGCACTTGAAGGCTGTTGATGTGATGTAACGTCAAGGTGTACCTGCATGTTTTATAAAAATAATATCTATAGTAACTTCTTCAAAAAAGTAATATTTTACGAATACGGCAATGACCTGAAATTCGTTCTCATTTGTTTTTTTGGCGATGGCCTCTGGTAGGCCTTGGGTCACTATGGCGTCTGATGGTAAGCGATGATGCGGCCTGCGATGGAGCACGTCTTCTCATAAGCAACGTATTCACTCAAGACTTGAAGACATCCAGGTTGTACACACGAACCTCTTGGCATGCCTCTTGAAGGACTGACCTAACAAATAACACTCCATTCTTCCTGGCCATCGAATCGAACTACTCAAGCTAAATTGTATTTAACATGAATCAATCATTATATAATGAAAATATATCATGAAACAATCACAGACTACATAATATAAATTGACCACACTCCACCGTTGTCATGACAACGGGTCCAGTATAAAATAACAAGTATTAGGTCATTGTAACAGGTAACACAATACTCAGTGGGTATCATCGTTTCTTTGTTTATTTAAACTAACACCATTCAAGAGTGAACCCGTTTTAATGGACTTCTCAATTTGAGAATATTTTGAGAAGCGACCGGAAATTAAAATGGTCATTAATCACGCTTTGCCGTGGTTTCTGAACAATCATTTTGCTGAAACTGAAATTGTAAAGGACTCTCAGAGTACCCACTTTGTTTTGTTAGAAGAATATTACAAGTTTCACTTTAATTATTTATTATACCTAGAGACCTGACGAGGGGGATTTACTTCAAGCTACAGAGAAATATCACTCACCTTTTTCATAAGAACAAACCTTCATCTTCAATGACTCCATCTATTTGAAAACACCGCATCACATTCAGTTGTGTAGGTACAAAGATTTAAGTATTCAAGTATATTGTATCTCGCGGAGAAACTAACGGGTTACCGGGGCCACGGCTGGACGTGCAGGAGTAGGAACGGGGTGGTTTTTAGTCAGTAAGAGTCTGACACTCATTCAGCGGGAGCAGCCATTCGATGATTTTCCCACCTTAAAAAAAAGTATTCATTGCATCCATAATGTATGTACATACATATAAGTGGTTAGGAACTACAATAGTAACAATTACGGACCCTTGTCGGGCAGAGCAAGAGATAAAATTAGTAGGAGAAAAGGCGCTTTTTACCGACTTCAAGAAAAGAAGGCGGTACTATGTTCGGCTGATTGTTTCTTTTTTTTGTTTGTTTACTGATTACTCCGCACTTTATGAACAGATTTCCAAAATTCTTGTTTTGTTTGAAAGTGTATTCTCCCGAGATGGTCCCATTGCCATGAGGTCCGGATCTGTTGATCGAATCCTAGGACCAATGAAGCCATTGTTAAGCCTATGAATTGCCAATGCTATGTACGCCATTATTGTCGCATGCATCAGTCCATTATTTTGTTACTTTGGTGTTTTTAAATGTTATATGTTTGTGATGTGGCAGTATTCCTTCGAATAAATAAAAAAAGCGATTGTTTTATACTCCGTAGTTATGATTAGCAGTAATGCTGTAAGTCGAATGTTTGATATCTTGGGTAATTCCCAAAAGGCAAGAAATGTGGAAACTAAACCATATTTCAAGGTTAAACATTGGGTGAGAATTAAACAAGGCACAATTAATTAAGACTGATAACTCTCCAGGGAACGAACCCTAAACTGGTCAGTGGTTTAAACTATCTTGCGAACACAAACGTGTTGATATTGTTTGTATATGTAACTCAAATTATCAAAAAACTGCTGTTTGACTGCCTCGTTGGCCGAGTGGTCGCAATGTGTGGTGGTGCGACGGCCGGCAAGGGGTCTCGGGTTCGATTCCCGGGACGGGCAAAGTATTACTGGGTTTTTTTAATCTCAGTAGTAGCACGGTGCCTGGAATTGTGCTCGGTATATGGCAATAAGCTCACCACCTATTACATGGGACTCATATCATAAATAGTGAAAAGTGGGTGTTACATTATACTGTGGCTTAATGTGCACCTCTTACCCCTTCGGGGATAAAAGGCGTGATGTTATGTTATGGTATTATTAAAAAACTATCATCATTACCATTAAACAGTTCACTGTTCAACTATAATCCTCTACATAATCTCCACGCTTGGCTAGTGTCTTAGAGATTGTAGTTTAAAAGATTGTTTGTTAAAAAGCGCTACTGCTCAATTTCTGTTAAATCTCTACTCCCTTCCCTTACCATCATAATCTCCATACTTGGTAGGCGAGTTGGAGTTGGTAATTTAAAAAAATAGATTTATTAGACACCATTGCTGACCTTAATCGATTCCTTTAGTCGATACCCGCGGAGAGAATAGAGGTGAGAAATATAGTCTTCTCTGCCATCGCCAATAAAATGAAAGAAGGTACTTCCAATGTTTACGGGGTGTTCACAATAGCGCAGTGTCACGGTACTGTGACGCGGTGACGTCATAAACCGACACACAGTGACACTAAACGTCACTTTAGTACCAGATTAGTGGTTTTACGACGGCAGCAGACCTCGCAGCAGTCTGCAGTCGTTCAGGCAAACTATAAAAGTAGTGCAGCTCTTATAGAATTGGAGACAAACTGGGACAATACGTTTTGTTGTATTCTTTTAACGCTGTCTTTAAAATTATTTTCTTAATGTTTTTGTCTGTTTACATGCAAATTATAAGTGCTGTGTGGTAAGAAAAGATCTGCCTCAATCTCCCCGCGGATGTCGTAATAGTGGACAAAGGGGCTTCTACATACTTAACGAAGACTGGTCAGTAGCGCTCTCTGATGGACCTGGGTGCCAAGCACAAATGACTATAGCATTCGTAACGTGAGTATCGAGTGTATATACTATTCAAATCAAATCACTTTAATGCATCTACATACATACATACATACATAACTTCACGTCTGTCTCCCACGGTAACCAGAGACTATGGAGCGCCAGTTACTACGATTCCTACATACGTCTTTCGCTTCATCAACAGTCATCAATCTTTTGATGCATCTCGTCGGTTAAGGGTACTTTTAATTTGACCCTTCTTTAATATATCGCCAATCTGGTCGCCGCCAATATGTCTGTCTTTAATTCATCTATAGTGTTAATTTTAATTTCGTTACGAATGCGATAGTTACGTTGCTTGGTACACTGATCCTGTTTACTGTGGAAACTCCTTTTAGAAGAGTCTTATAGTTCAACAGTGGGACTTCAACGAGCTATCATTGATGTGATATAATTTGTACAATAAGAGTGTGTACACAAGGCCCACAGTCCAACAGTGGTCTATGATGGGATGTGGATGGGATATAATTAGTTCGCGTATACAATTTAATATTCACGGCGATTAAGCTCATTCGTTTATACCAGGAACGATTTATTTCGCTATTAAATGAATGCGGACGGTATTATATGTATTATGTAGCCGCGGTTTGATTGATCAATGAAAAATTATTTATTTATTTAGTGCTATCTTGTTGCCTGTTGTAATATTTGATAAACCAAATATCGCTTTGTTATATTTTATGATAGTTGGGGTACAATTTATCAATCGTCAGTTAATTCTTAAGTGTAGAATAAAAAACGTTTTTATCTGTTTAACTGATTGAAAATCTGCCCTAAGTGTGACTACACGGTTGGTACGGTGGCTGGCCAACCGGCTGCCGTGCAACGTGTCGCGATTCCCGCATGAAACAACTCTTTGTGTGATCCACAGATTGTTGTTTCGGGTCTGGGTGTCATGTGTATGTGAACTTGTATGTTTGTAAACGCACCTACGACACGGGGGAAAGTCCTAGTGTGGGGCAACGTTAAAAAAAATAAAGAAATAATAATGTATTGCATTTTTAGATAAAGAATCACTATAAATGTGAAAGTTTCTTAGTCCGTCAATCACGCTAAAACTACTGAACAGATGTTGATGAAATTTGGTATACGGGCAGGGTATGGACTTGAGTGATAGGATACTCCTATCCAGATTAAATACTCCCATGGGATAAAACAGGAATCATATTCTACGCGGACGAAATCGCGGGCAACACCTTGTAACAAATAAAATTAATTATTTAGTTACATATTTTCAGAAATTACTTATTGTACTTACAACTATGACTTTAAACGTAAAGCCCTTAAACGGCTTGATGTTGTTAAAGAGAATGTAACCAGATATTTTGTAAGGAATTCTTGGAAGAGAACAGAAACCACAGACATCAGTAACTAATGAATTTATTTACATATTCACATATATTTAGATCTGCAACATGAAATAAGTACAATATACAATATCTCTTAGTAACTAGTACAAATATTTAGCTTTATTAACTTTCTATCACAACATTCAGTTTCCTTACGTAATGTTTGCACTGCGCGCGGTTTGTCCCTTTCACTCTTACGGCTTTATACATGTGAGTGAGCGAGAGAGGAAATTTTGTGTAATATTTATAATATTACCTGTAATATTCGTTATTGTATGGACTGTTTATTCTTAAATGAGTATTATTTGTCATGGAGACATCATATCTACATAATTAGGCTATAAAACTTATATATATAACTGTTCGGCTAGTTTCGAACCACAACTGGAGCTCATAAATCCTCGAACAATTACGTAAGTAAGTCATATTGTCTAATAATTCCCACGATAGTTATTATACAAAAATGGGACCTACGTATTTATAATAATCAATGGCTGTTTAATTAAGCTCACGTTTGTACATTATATATTAATAATTATTATTCTTACCGTACGTATGTGTATCATAAGTCTATCATGCCATCCTCTAACACTGGGAGGTTTTGTACGGTCCATCGCACATTCATATTGTTTATGATTTTTTATTAAATTCTGGTTCTACTATAACATATAGCCTGTTGTATTTTTGTTATTTTTTACAGAGTACTTGTAATACCAAATCACTTATTTAATAATTGTTGAGCGAAAATTAAACATCGCTTTAGTTTGCAAACGAAATCTATCAAACTTTCATCTTACTCAAACGCAGTCCTTTTAGTAAACCTACCTATCGCTTTTGTGGAAAGTTCAGTATTAATATGCGATGAACTGACGAAACCCGAAGTCACGGCGTTACACCACGAAGTTTCTGTATCAAAAACATTCATTCATACATTATCACACAATTACCACTAAAGGGGGGTTTCTATTCGATTCCTCGTTCACAGCCGCGCGCAGTGCTGTATTAGCGAGTTTAATTGAGAATGTGCGCGGGCGCCGGCGTCGCACGCGCCGATCATAACGTGAGCACCAACACTGCGCATGCGCACCACCATGTCAACGCCACGCTGTATGACACTGCACCTACAACAAAAGAGGTTATTTTATAAATGTTCCATTGTTAATGGTTAAATCAAGGGATTGAATTTGAAATAGAAATCTCATTCTGCTTGCGTATATAGAAAGAATAAAGATTTGATTAGGGATGTTGACCAACGTATGCAAATAAAAAAAGTCAATAACAATAACCTCGAAATATACATTTTTGCTTAAAGCTATATAAAATTCACAATATAAGGTAACACGTCCTGTGTTTCAAGCGATAACAGCTGGGCAAGATAACCCCAAACTAATGACCCTTGATCAGATGAGCAGCGTTGGACTTCGACGATACTCTTTTTCTTTTACTTCTTTTAATAATTTGATGTGCCACATTAAATGTTAGCGAGAACCTACTCAATATTAGCCAAAAACCTTTAAAACTAGCCCCTACCTGCCTAAGAATAACATAACCATAACTACATAGAAATAAGTTCTGTTACCTGAAGAATCCTCCCCAGTGACTGAGGCTGGATGAGGAGCGTCTTCTCTGATGAGGATGGGGTCTCCCTTCCGCGCATAGATGTCGTATATGGTGGCCACGCAGCTCAGGGAGAACTGACCGGAGGGCGGAGGGACCAATGTGTACCTACATACCCAAAAACAATATTAATCATATTTAATCTTGTGCCTTCAGCATAACATTACGCTGCAACCAAAGAAATCTTGTTTCAATTGATTTTTGATTGTAGCTCTGTATCTAGACAGACATTTAATATTGCCCTAGTGTCTAAGAGCTTGATATTTGAAAGCCCTGTCCCAGATCTACCAAAAATCATTACTTTTAATTTAAGATAAAACACAAAATGTTTCGTCCTACACTATTCAGAAACTACACTCTTTATAATTAATACCTTAAAACTTCTTTGTCTTCTTTCTCAGGCTGTTTCTCATAGCTTCCATAGTAGGTGTCTTGATAGGATCTGCCTAAACTTGAGCTGGTGTATGTCAGACCCATCTTGTAATGCTCTGCCTCCAGGATCGAGATCTCCAGTCTGCTGAAGGCTCCTCGTTCCTTGAAGTCGAGGTCTGATGTCTTCCATGATACTGTTTCTGCTATCTGTTGGAAAACAAGAACAAATATCTCACAAAAATCATTTCATTTTAATTTCTTAAAACTGTTTCTCTCAAAATAAAGTCAGCGAGTAAAATACCGTCAGCCAAATCTCAGTAAAAATCCCTTCATTCTGTGAAGTGATTTTTTACTTTCTTAGTAAAGTATAAATGAAATAGAATTTTATTTTTAAAAGTTTCAAATCTGTTACGAATAAATATTTCTATAAATAACCAAACCATTAATGGTTGAAAACAAGACTTAGGAATTTTTCAAAGCCATAAAATATTTATGGAACAAAAAAATTAATAACGGAATAGCCGTGATCCGCGTACCTTCTCAGTTAAAATGTTAATATTATATTATAATATTTTTCTAGTACAAGACAGCGAACAACGTAAATTGTGTGTGCAATGTTATATAGCATGAATTGAATTGTAGACAAAACAGTAGTAGTCGAACAAAGAACTGACTACCACGTCCCTATAACTCTTTAAAATAACTTAGAAGCCGGTTGTGGTGCAGTAACTCTGCAACTTAAAGCGCACGGTGGCGTAAATAGGTATCTCTCAGTACTTTTTCCACGTAGGAAGTTTTATTTTTGTTTCAGCTCGTTGCAAGTTGCTAAAACTATTTAGCGTAGCCGAGCGTCGCAGCTCCGAGGTTTCGGAGACCACTTTAAAGCCAGGCTTTACGGCTTAGAGGAGTTACTGCGGACCGCGTGGAGCCTCCTTGAAGGGTGGCTTAGTACGTGTCAGTTATTACGCCGTTCGTGCGATGTGCGATGAATTAGTGGCCCCAACGCTGGCGTAACAGTTTGTAAGTTGAAGGGTCATTAATCTCACACACTAGTGGTGACGATCCCTTGTGAGGGGACGCGGAAAATACTGGGTTTAGGAGGATGTTGTTGTGGTCTAATTTTACGGTAGGATTCGTCTATTTTTTCTTGATGCGACGTTGTCGGACTGACCGAAAGATATATTATATTATGTATCGGTTTTTCTTTCTTCTGCAGTTACCTATATGTCACATGCATGACCAAATGTGTAATTGAGGCAATTATTCTTCAAGTAACAGCTTTACCAGTATTCGAATTATTGTTCCCTGAAATTCCAATATTCCGCACAGAACTCACCCACATTGGTGAAAGCATGGAAATGGCACATTTCATGTAAGTGTTTTAAAGTAATTAATGAATGTTTCAGAATTACACCTGCAATGCTGAAATAGAAATATTTAAAGAAGTAACAGATTTCAGGAGAATTTAACATAAGTCTGATGTTGTATTCTATGGAGGTTTTACTGCCAACCAGGGTTCCTGGGATTTACAAACATAATTACTTGACTCTAAAAGTTAAACACATTTTATAATGTGCTCGTCTTTTATGTTTTGAGGGAGAATATCAAGAATACTGAAATATTAAAGAAAATTTTAATGTGTAGGTCAAGTCTATATTTTATAGAAAAAAAATGTGTTCTGAGTTTAATTAAAATCTTACATTTTGTAATTATTTGCGTCAAAAATCTTAATACAGTCATGACAGCAGTTCAAGAGTTTCCAACTTGTCAACTTTCTTTAATAAATTTTGGCCTGGTTTTTGTATAAGAGCAACACATGACCTCCACCCCCCAATAACTATTTCTCAAAAACCCCTCAAAGGACAGTAACGCACTCGTAACTTGTCTCTCGTGTCTTGAGTATCCACAATCAATTGCTTGTCTTCAGGTGACCCGATTGTTCGTTTGCTACCCTATCTTATAAAAACTGCGCTACGCTGAACTGCGAAGGACTTAACGGGTTGCCGGGGCTCCGGCTCGAAGACTAGGAGTAGAAGCGGGCTGGTTTTTAGTCAGTGAGAGTCTGACACTCCCTCACGCCTCAGCCATCTTCACCCTTATAAAAATCCAATAAAAACGTAGATATTTCACCCTTAAATTAGAAATAATAAGGTCATCATAATAAAGATACACACATCAACCCCCTATCGATCAGAAGCTACCTGACCATTCAACCAAGAAGTCAGCAACAACATCCTCCTACTAATGAATAAGAATCCATGAATAATGCTCTATTGTTTTTCTTCCATTTTGAATAAAAATACTCGAGGGAAGGCCTCGCTCTTACTAAGAGATTTTTTTAATATCCGAAATATGAAGGGTTGGGCGATGGGAGATGGGAAATATTAATGAAATACCGACTTTGTTTACACTGCTTGATCATTTTTCTTGGACACTCGCTGCTTGGAATACGAATTAATGCTTTTATAGTTGGGAAGTGCGTTACGTTTGAGGAGTGAATGAATTTGTGTTGGTTGCTAGTTTCGCGATGATGGACTGAATACTTTGTTCGATTGTAACTAGGAAAATGTAAAATGTTATTCATGATTTTTAGTGTGAATGTGTTACGTTAAAATTCTCACTCGGTTTTTTTATAATATCGTACCTACTAACTATTGTCTTAGCCCTAAAACTTGTTTTAAGTAAATTCTAATTGTATCAACATAACTTATAACGAATCTCCAGAATTTTATATTTTTTCCTTATCTTTAAATGTACCTTGCCTTGTCTTTAATCGACTTCAAAAAAGAAGGAGGTTCTCAGTTTGGTTATATTATTATAATTTTTAAAGGGGAAAATCATCTAATGACTAACTGTATCTATGTGTATATGTTTATGCGCCATTATCTCGCGATTGTCTGAACCGATTTCGATGCGGTTTTCAGAAAAGTGTTTGTTACACTTAAAACAAGGTTTTAGTGTATTCATTAACCGACTTTTAAAAAAGGGGTTTAAAGTCGGTTATTTCAACGGTTTAGTCTAGTAGAAACTGTCAAGTGCGACTGCCGGGCAAGGGGTCTTGGGTTCAATTCTCGGGTCGGGCAGAGTGTTACTGGGTTTTTTTAAATTCTCAGTAGTAGCACGGAGTCTGGAGTTGTGGCCGGTATATGGCAATAGACTCACCCCCTATTACATGGGACTCATAACATAAGTAGTGAAAAGTGGATATTACATTGTACGGTGATATTAAGTGCCGTAATGTACACTTCTGCCTACACCATCGCGGATAAAAGGCGTGGTGTTATTTAATACAAGAATTATTTATATCTAAAATTGTCTTATTACTAGTCGAATATTTACTAACACTATAGTTTTACTTACTTTATGATCATCAAGTATCCATGTGATGTTGGGTGCCGGGTAGGCCTCGTCCACCGAGCAGTTGGCGCGCAGGATGTCACCGCGCGCGTAGCTCCCTCGGGAGATCGACAGATGTGGGGCTCTGAACGGCGGATCTGGGTACAACGTAAGTAGATTTATATAACTGTTTCACATCCACCTCTAAACCATCTCTTAACTAAGAGTTACTTAGTTTAAGAGCTACTTAGCCTTATTTGTGCTGTTAGATCTCAATTATAGGTTGGGTAAAATGTCAATTACACGTTCCATTAAATTTAGAAAGGTTAAATTGTGAAGAGTGACATTAGTTCCGCGTCAATATAATACCCCTAATCAAGTTAATGATAGATGTCACCTTTTATACGAAACAGCCCTTTAATTATCTGAAAGATGAAGACAATATTCAAAAGATGATTTTCTTGGAACAAATACCGCTGTATAGAGTGGCAACGTGGCCCCCGTGGACACTACCTGAGTGTCTCCCAGCAATGATAAGTAACTTATTGTTACAACTAAAATAGATCGATCAGGAAGCTATCGGATACACTTCAATAAACAATTATGGAAGTTGTTCGTCCCAAGTTTTCCTCAAGATATTAATATTCCCGAGCCTCTGGACGCGAACAGAATAACTAGTTCCACGAAATTGTTCCGATTGACTAATTTAAGAAAATTGATAACGGCTTTTATGGTTTGTTGGAACATTCTCTTTGTCGAAGTAATAATCTGTGTGACGGCGACATTATACTTGGAAACAATGAACAAACTTAACTTTTAGAAAAATTCAGGTTTTGTATTATAAAATTGGATCTTATTTTTTTATATTTATACTCCTCAGGGTATTTGTTTCGCAGTTTTCTTCATATATTTTATTGGTAAGAAACTGCCTCCAACCTTCGCTCGTGTTGCCAATATAATGCTGTCCCTAGACACGTGTATCTTTGTTCAAAGAGTTATTAAAGTTTTTTATTTCAACGTATTCTCACTTTTATATTTATAAGGAATCAGATTTATTTTCACTGTAACACAGTTTATGAGTTCTAGAATCTAGATCCGAGCTATGACCTCATTGCTGTGAAAATATTACTGCTCTTTATATATATACGACATATTTATATCCTTTTCGTAGAATACACGTTTGTTTACACTATTTACAACTACTAATATAAAAATACATACGAATATATTATTAGATTCAACATAATCTAAAAAACTCATTCCGTAGAGACTTAAACAGTTCTAGATAAAGTTTTGGAATTATAATTATCATTTTGACCAACACAATAATATTAAAGGCTAGCAATTGTGACTCCAATGGTGTTACGAATGTCCATGGGCGGCGCTGATTGCTTACCATCAGGTGATCCGTCTCCTAATGTACTACGTGATCCATCGTAGACTGCATCATCGCTGACCACCATTCGAGATAGTGGTCAAATGTCGGCCCATCGATTATCATCATCATCATCAACAGCCTATAAATGCCCACTGCTGAGCAAAGCCTCTTCTCACACGGAGAAGGTTAGAGCATCGATTATAAAAAAGCCTAATTTATGAATGTAACTTACCAACAACAGTGAGCGGTGCTGATCGTATGTCTGTGTGGAAGAGAGGCGCGTCTGCTGAGACCTCGCACTGGTAGTCCCCGCTCAGTCGCCGGTTCAGGTTCACGATGCGGACTTGCTGGTGATCTGACTGTGTCAACTGGGAGGGGGGAATAAACAGATTTATGTAGAACATATTATAATTTAACTCATTTTTCAACTTATTTTCGTTTTTAAAACAAAACGCTGGGAGTTTAATTCAGAAAAACACACCTAAGTGAAGAGTTTAAGGATTCGAGTCACAGTTTGTTAAATAAATTATCTACGATATTTGTATGGACTTTATTATACTTCATCTAAATAGTGTATGAATCAGTATCACGAACAACCCACACACCCGGGGTCCCTTTAAAATTTAAAATATAATTTGACTTAACAAAGATCTAGGACCGGAGCGAGATTCCTTGAATATGGAAAATAATTTGAATTAAATATGAATTCGAGCAGAAGACAGAAATATTCCCGATGTTAATTTAAATTTGAATGCAAATTCAAAACGCTTTTATATTGCTACTTTGAGACTGTTTATAAGACTTTAGTATTTGAAGGATACTCGTAACTAAATATAAGTACTAGGTTCGGTTTAAGCGATTATAGTTATTAAACAAAGGACCATTAGTACTGAATTAGAGTTTAACAAGTTTTGCTAAACAAGATGATATTACATTACAATTAGTGATCACAAAGGTTTGGTTAGTGATCTGTTATTGTCTTTGTGTTCTTGAATATCTTTCACTATCTCTCAATTTAGATGTTAAATACTTAACTGATTAATTTCAATGTAGGTAACGAATTTTGTTTATGACACTATTGAATTAACTGTCTCGCCGATTAACTGACTATTTTTCGATAACCTAATCAAGCAAATTATTATGAAATGTTTTTGTTATTCCTTTTATTTTAAATATTTCTAAAATTTTCTGGTCGAAGAAAGTGTTAGTAATAGTTTAGGAGTTATAGAATAAAATTACGCGCAGCGTATGACAACAAATACAAACATATTATTATAATTATGTTATGTCAAAGTCAAAGTCAAAGTCAAAATCATTTATTTCAATTAGGCCAGAATGGCACAATGAAAGTGAAGCTATTTGCTCATTCCAAGGCATAGTATGAGACATAATATATGCTACTACGCGTCTCTATCTGAAAATAACTGTAACTAAAGCCAATATATCTTATTTTCATTTCCAACTTACATCAACAGACGCTCCTGGGAGTGGAAACACCATGGTGGGAGGCATCTCCCGTGGCACGTATCTATAGAACTCCGTCTCTGCTCGGTACCACCTGATGGAGTATAGGGCAGCATCCTCGAGGTCATAGGAACACCGGAGTATGGCAGACTGACCCTCGCCAGAGAGGACTGCGCGAGGAACTGAGATTGAGAGGTTTCGGAGGGACCACACGCCACCTGTGGAAGAAAAAGATAGATTTAATGATAATTTTAACTGACTACAAAACGACGAGGTTGTCCTTTAGAACCTATATGTATTTACATACCTATGTATGTTATATATGTTTGAACCGATTTGGATGCAATTTTCAGAAAAGTGTTTGTTACTTACACTTAGACAAAGTTTTGAGTGTATTAATTAACTGACTTACAAAAGGGGGTTGCAGTCGGTATTTTTAAACATAGTTTGTGAAAGATTTTTTATATTATACTGACACACATAACATAACATCACGTCATTTATCTCCGAAGGGGTAGGCAGAGGTGCACACAGAAGTGGCACCCACTTTTCACTATTTATGTTATGGGTCCCATGTAATAGGGGGTGAGCCTATTGCCATATACCGAACACATTTCTAGACTCCGTGCTACTACTGAGATTTTTTTAAAAACCCAGTAATACCAGACCCAGGAGTCGAACCCGAGACCCCTTGCCCTGCAATTGCACTTGCGACCACTCGGCAAACGAGGCAGTTAGTAAATAATAATGATTAACACTTAATGAAATATTTATCTGTTATAAATTCATACCAATACTGAAAATTTGTTTCGATTGTAGATACTCATTAAACTGTCAAACACCAAGCGGTCACCGGTGACCGCAACCTATTGTTCTATAATTGTGTCTACAAAACCGGTACTCGACGAGTTAACAATTAATGAATTAGTAATTCAGCATGATTACCTACGTATACACAATAGTAAATATTTCAAGCCAACAATTTATTACCATAAATTCATTACAACATAACATAACATCACGACTTGTTATTCCCGAGAGGGTAAGCAGAGGTGCACATTAATGCCACTGTACAATAGGTATAACACCCACTTTTCACTATTTATCTTATGAGTCCCGTGTAATAGGGAGTGAGCCTATTGCTATATACCGAATACAATTCAGGCTCCGTGCTACTACTCAGATTTTTTTTTAAAAAACCCACTGTACTTTGCCCCGGGAATCGAACCCGAGACCCCTTGCCTAGCAGCCGCATTTGTGACCACTCGACCAACGAGACTCACACATTCATTACAAAATAATATAAATAATTGATTAATATGTTTATTGCCCATCAGTTTCATTGCATACAGATGAAATGATCGTTATGGCACACAATATTAAGTAGGCAAAAGCTAGTTCTAGTAAGAGGAAAGATTTTGAACAATAATCTACTAGAGTAAAACCTTCTAATTCAGTTCTTTTTGCCGGCAGAATCACAGCTGTGTTAAAGATAGCAAACCGTTACAAAAGTTAAACTTGAAATAAAAATACATTCAATCTAGTCACACGAGCAGCCATCGAAGTACTATTGTGGTCCATTCAATCTCAGACCAGAGAGAAATCACTTGGAAACCAAACGGATTGCTTGTCAAGGGATATTTACTCTAAACATATAGTAAGTAAGGATAAATAATATAAAAACTGATTACTTTCGTATATAATACGTATGATGTACCCAATAAGAGGTGGTAACTCTAGGGAGCTAGCCTGAAAATATTGCCTACAAGAACACGTAATTCTCCACCGAATTCTTTCCACATTGTTTGTCAATAATGAACTTTATTTCTTTATTTATATAGTCTGGTTTTCTTTATTTGTAAGGTGTTCCATTATGTTAGTATTACGCCATTTGTAGCTTAAATGGAGGTATAAAGAGTAGCTGAAGTCTTAGTAGACTCTAGTCTAGGTAGACTTAGTGTTTATAAAAAGGGACCTAACAATGTGGTTTGTGGTATTGTTGTCAGTTTTGTTTTTTAAATACTGTGTTTGGCCTACAGCTGTGCTTGTAACTTTGAAGTGGTTGTTAGTTAGAATTTTTATTTTTTTTCTGCCTTGATAAAAGTATTGTGTTTTAATGATATTTATATAAAAAAATAAAATTCACAAATTTGATGTTCCAGCTGCAGCTCCAAGTCTTTACCCTTAATAGGCACAATTACCATTACGTCATTAACTGCCTCGACTGCTCGACTGCCTTGTTGGCCGAGTGGTCGCAAGGGCGACTGTCGGGCAAGGGATCTCGGGTTCGATTCCCGGGTCGGGCAAAGTATTAGTGGGTTTTCAAAAAAATCTCATTAGTAGCACGGAGTTTGGAATGGTGCCCGGTATATGGCAATAGGGTCACCCCCTATTACATGGGACTCATAACATAAATAGTGAAAAGTGGGTGTTACATTGTACAGTGGTATTATGCGCACCTCTGCCTACCCCTTCGGGGATAAAAGGCGTGATGTTATGTTATGTTACCATTACATCATAAAATAAACCGCCAACATAAAACATGAAATTAACAGACATACAAACAAGCAAACTGACACAAAAGTAAAGCATACAAGACTTCAACGAGACGACAAACAAATTATCCAAGCTAGAGATGTATACAAAGGGGTCTCAGGGAGCCCTGAGAGCCCTGCGAGCAGTCCCCTGAGTGATTCGGAAACAATATTTCCCCACGAGCGGGCCCTGAGAACATCTCTAGAGGCAGCTCAAGGACCATAGGGCTGACACTTAGTGAATTTCGAATTATGTAGGTACATTCAAATCTTAAGACGTTCTTTGTTTTTAGGTCTTATTTTTTGCCTTAATTTTGAGGTTATTGTATCGTCGGTAAGATGTTTTTGTTACTTACTTTTTGACTGTTATGTTATAAGGTATAAGGTGGAGGACTGATTTCGTTAATATCAAATACTCTAAATTATTTTTTTTTATGGCATAAGCCGGTAAACTAGCAGACGGATCACCTGATGGGAAGCAATCGGCGTCGCCCATGGACACCTGGAACACGAGAGGCGTTACAAGTGCGTTACCGGCCTTTTGGGGATTAGGAGTTTGAGGATCGTTGGGGATTATTGTAAGCATTTTTTTAATAAATACCTTTTATTATTAGAACCTACGAATTGAATTGGCTCAGGCATTCGGGTATTTATCTATTGTGTGTTTTAAAAAACACGATAAATAAAATTCTGAATAGAAAATTATTTCTATGCAAATCGAGCGATTCAGTGTGAAATATTGCACGTTAAATTAATTTCCAACACACGTCCATGCAATATGTATATCAAAATATTTTCATGAAAAAGTAATTGTATAGAAATATTACGATCTATTTTTGTTAGTATAAAACCTAATACGTTACAAAAAGCCTTATAATCATAAAAACCATACTTATATATTTTTTTAATTAATAAAAACCTCGTTTGTTATAATAACAGAGATAATTATAATTATTTTAAAACCCTTAATTGCTACATACTCGTTCATGAGATCAAATTTGCGACAACACAGCTTTTTACCCGATACCCTTACCGCGGCCCTTAATCCGGGCTCTAGAGGTGCCTTTAAAACAATTTTGGTTGGGCGTCATGTTTCTGGCAACCCTAGCGGACGGCGGGCTCAGATGGCCGCGGTCACTAATCACCATCACCACCAAACAAATAACGCAGTAGGCTCATGATAACCAAACAGCTTATCCGACAGACATCATGAGGGTTAGCGATTTTGGTCAACTAAATTTGAATTTGTAACAGTTGTAGACACATCTTTCTCATACTTTTCGTTATAAGGGTGATTGATGGTAGTCAATTTATATATACCTCTACAGTTATTTGTTTCACTTTTGGGACTTTAAAAAAAAAAGCTGTGGTTTGTTATTTTGTAGCTTTACAATATTTACCGTGGACGATGTCCAAATAAATAAATTGTAAAAAAACGATTCAAATTGATAAATCCGTTTCCGAGTATTGGGCAGACAAGAAAAGCAATTGGTTTTTATAATACCTACATAGATAACAAGTTTAACATCCGACTACCATTTCCAAAATACAAAAACACAAATAAAATAGTCCTTTCTCAGACCTGGTAAAAGACGAACACAACCAATTGTAACCACCAGATTACATCATCATCTAGATAATCTCCCTGCTCACTCCCATTCTAATTATGCAGCTGTTCTACATTCCACATATACAGCACCGAGACTGTTCACATAATGGCTGAACACTGAACACCTCCGTCAGCCTGTCAGCCTCCCTTACAATATCTAGAGATAACGCATTGTGTGTTCCAACGATTGTTTTGATTCACACCTGATACATTGCCGCTATTGTTCGGTGATTGCATTGTGAACCCGCTGCTGAGACAGTAATGTAGTTACCAGTTCAATTGAATGCGATGAAGACGTTATGCAGATTTTATTGAGTTACGGTCGCGTGGAGTCAATTTTCCTCGTGATTCGGTTACGACTCGGAATTGGTTTACTTTAGTGAAATGCGTGTAAGCGCCGAATTATTTCGCAGTCAAATAAATGCTTTTAACTCTTGTATGGTAAACGAAAAATTTGTAGAATATTCAAAAGGGTGACAATTTACATGTTTCAACCGAAATCTGTCTTTTATTTATTACAGAAATTAAAATTCGAAATGAAAAAGTAGTCATACATGTTTGAACAGCTGGATATGAGAATGATGAGAGTTTACGATAACTCAAGTGACATCAAAGTTCATTATAAAACACTATTCTGCCAACCGCATCGCCCACGTACCCGTGGGATGAAAGTAGCCTAAGTATGTGTAATTCCGGGCCATAATCTACCACTATTTCAAATTTCATACGGATTCCTTTAGACATTTTGACGTGAAGGAGTAACAAATAAACATATAAACTTGCGTATCTATACATAATATTAGTAGGATAAATCCCCTCGTTTATAATCCCACCCCGCTACTACTAGCACAGCTAATCCCCCACAATATTTACCCCACTTTTTCATCGTACTTAGCAAAACTGTTTGCTCATAAAACAGCGCTAGAAAAACCTATTATCTAGACAAACACTATTTATTATACAAAATAGCTCCTTTACTTAAGAACGGAGACCATTACAAGTTTCGTCCTCCACATCTAGATAATTTTCTAAAACAATCATTTAAGGTGTGGTCTTGCATAATCCATGATCATTA